CTGTCGGTGCCGTCTTGTCATGGCGATGCGTGCCACGTCGCTTTGTGCCATTGTTAATTAGGCGATTCTGCGCTGCAGGTAAATTAATGTGGTAGAGAAAGAAATATTCGCTAAGGAGATTATCCATCACCGATCGGTCGTAGCCGGGGATTTTCTGCGCTTGTGGGGGGGGGGACTTTGCATAGATTAGAGCGTACAGTGAGTGGATTTCGCACGCGTTTGTGGCAACTCCCTCTCATGACCTTCTCTGATATGATCTATTGTCTCTCTGCAATGTTGCCGGAGGCAGCGATATGTGGATGCTGTAATGCGCACATCAAACGTGGAAGGCCATGACTATTCCAACTTCCCCAAGCTTATCATCATATCTGTGGAACTTCCGTAAAATGGCGGAAGGGTGAAGCTTGATACTGTTGCACGTTGTGAACATCGGTGGCAATCCTTGTCTGCAGTTTCGTTTGTCAAGGTCAATGTGGAGGACTGTGACCACCAGTGACCTAAATTGCACGACCAAAAAATCGTCCCAAACATCATAGCCAACGTAAATCAAATTGAACAAAATCCTGGTGACAGACGGTTGGGAGTCATTCTGCCTTCTTTCAACATGTGCATCGCTATGTAAAAAAATAGGAAAAATCCACCTACCAGACATGCTTAGGGCTGTGGTAATGACCTACCCAAGATTTGTGCATGACCATATCACGAAAACTGTGCATCTCTTTTTTACCAACAATAATCAGTAGTCGCCGGAAATCAGCAATCGGATGGTGGCATCGGACGATTGGATGCTTCCACAATCGCTTTGCAACGTAGTGATAGAAGACCTACCGCCATAAATACTACAAGCTCAGTGGAAGCTACAGGGCATATCGTATTCATTGTTGTGGGGATCTCACAGTCCTGGAATGTAGTACAAATTAATCGACGCAGCAATTTGGCGATGCATCCAGAAGTAAAAGTTATGTGTATACGCGATGTGATGTGGGAAGATGAGTGTTTCGAGGCAAGCGGCTGAGCGCCGCCGCCGGCATACTGACTATTGAAAGTAGAGAGCTAGTTGATATATATCTGTGCCGCTCCATCGTAGTTAGATCGGGCACTTTTCGAAATCACGTCACTGAGTCATGCGCAGTTGCAGCATAAGGAAACTTCCCACCTTATCCGCGATCTTGTAAAATCACTGTGGTCCGACGGAAGTGATCTCCATGTATTTCCGTTGCTTGCTGCGATTTTGTGCTGCTTGTTCACCTCTTCTCCTTGGAATTGTTCTTCGGCAGATTCTGTGATACTCGTAAACAGGTATACTTCGCTTCGATGGATGGATGATCATCCACACAACGAACACTGATGGGGAATGTTTCGATAAAACTGGATGAGGGTACGGATTCTTTGAACCCGCATACTTGACGCGGCATCCGTGTGCGAACACGCGTTCATGAAGCGTGACACTACACGGTCTGACGAAGATGATTAGGTCGAAATAGGTGGATGCGTCTATCTTTTTCTACCATCTCGCCGGATGATGGATGAGGTTACCACTACAAGCAATGGGTAGGACAAAATGAATAGCGCTCAGTCCAAGTTGTCCAGCTTTGGGAATGGACCAAGGCGGAGGGGGGGGGGGAGAAGTTTGCCCTGTGTTGCAGCTAAATGAACACAACTACCAAAACACTTTGCCGACTGCCGCCCATTTAGTTAGTTCATCTTGTGGCCACCAGGAACGGAATTCGAAAAAGCTTCGAGTACACCAAATTGTCAGTCCGACTGAACAAGTACCGGGTTCCTCTAACTGCTCCTGCATGAAATCATCGATAGTTTGAACAGGAGTACACAAAGAAATGTGTCAGCGTTGCGGAAGCACGTGTGTGGAGCATCCGACCGGTTGACAAAATATCCTTGCTTGGGACAGCTTTAACTCTCAGGTGACATTGAAACCATTGGCCGGATGACTGAGTGCAGACTGTGCAATCGGTGCAGCAGGCCACGGCGGTTCTCACCCATGAAACTATACGCTTCGCTTTGGGAAGTTACGAAACAAGATTGTGTCGCTTTGTAGTGGGGTATGAACTCATCATGTACAAGCAAGCAGGCAAGTATGCACGAACGAATATGTATGAGGATATGCAGACAGACCACTGCTTCAGCATTTTAACAAAGGAACCCACTTCAAACACCTAAGGACTGATAAGCCAGTTAGGCAACGAAGATAGTCACTTTAAGTTCGCCTTTCAACGTAGCCACAAACTGACACTCGAGGACTGCTGGGTAAGAGCTTTGCGTCGCACACCACATATCTCCATACGTGTTTCACCGGGTGTTAAAGTCTGAGGTAGCAGAACGGTGAATCACAAACGCTGTGCTCTACGATCAGTACGGTCCTTGACTGGAACCTGCACGCAGAGCTACGCGAAGTTGAGGGCGGAATCCATGCCCTTCTTTCCGACATAAATCTAACTACTTGTCCAGTAAGTTTCGTGAACAAAGGTCAAGCATGTTTCAACTTCAATCAGACGCATTTGGCAGATGAGGGGGAATACAACTTACAGGTTTAATTTTCACCTGATGACGCAGGGGTGTTCGCCCTTTCCGGTTACTCACTCATTTTGGCCGAGAGATCACAAACAAATGGTCATTGGGTTGGACCCACTTTCGCTATTCAGCTAGTCTTTGAGTCACACAATATCACAAGTATGGTAGACGTTATACAAGATAGCAAACAATAACGCAAGTTGTGATATCGGATGGGGGCTCAACAGATTCGTAGGTATCGTAACGGAATGCAGTAAAACCTCCGAAACTGATCCCGTTTAAACCCTGACAACCTTTCTAAGCTGACTGGTTTTGTGTGTACATCGCTTGAACTTTTAGCATGTAAACCTTATGAATCCAGACCTCTGTATTGTGACCACTTTGGTCTAGTCTTTTTTGTGTATTACCTAATTCTCATCTATTCCGTGGGCATACAACATTTTGCTCGACCATGCCAACCTGACAATTCGTACATTTAAGCGTCTTCTGAAAGGTGAAGCCAACCAAAACGTGTGACCTCTCCGTTGTCAACTTTGTCTTTTTCGTTGCACGGACATACAGGCCATAAATCTACGGCCGGCAATTGAATGCTGAAAGGAAAACCATTGAACCCACTTGGCATCTCAGCCATTCCGTAACACACAGCAGGTCTTGCTCGATCAGGTCAATCCGATATCAAGATTTAGGAACCTTTAAGCATCTCCTCTCGCCTTAACTCAAGTTAAGTCAGTCAGTGTAAGGTTTATGCACCCAGATAGGCACTTTTTTGGCAATTTACATTGTCAACTGCGACGAAGCAGTGACATCAAACATACACAATTGTATAAAAGGTTAAAGAAAGGGGAACGGTTGCATCGGAGTTACACGAGTCAAATGAACTGCGTTGTTAAGCAATGGGGGCAGATTGAGAAGAATAATCTTTTAAATTTGTTTCCAGCCAACAGAGTAGAGTGTTAATAAAGTATTTGGTCCTAACTGTATTTCATTGTCCTAAAAGCTCGTGACGGAAAGAAACAACTCGCGAACTGTGCACGATATCTCGACCTAGTAATTATACTATAGAATGTAAGACATTCTAGGTGATTTTGGAAGTAGTTCCGGCAAACAGGTTGTCAAAATATTCGCACACAACTGATGTAAAAATGATGTTCGGTGAAAAAGCCATACATTACTCGGCTAAGTCAGTTAAGGCATTGCAAACTCAATTGGGGAGCTACATTGATGCACACTAATCCCACAACTCTCATTCCTTTCTCATTTGAGTACAACTTGTCCCACTGTTGTGTTTCAGCTACTCACAGATAACTTGTCCCATATTACTCTAACGTGTCAGCTGTACGCCGTAACGGCGCTTCGCTGCCGCGCGACCACAACCAGTCGCTCGCGGGCTGAGTATACCGCGAGGACGCCCACCCCTAAGCAGATTCGAACCGGTGACCTTATGGTTGCAAAGCAAACGTGCAGACCACTCGGCCACCGGCCGACCCCATATTACTCTAGTCTATTATGTATGACGCCTACAAGTTCCCCATCCTCTTACATATTTCTTACCCTTCCATGAACCAGCCGTCCTTATAGCATCATGATCTGCGCCGAAACCGAATAACTGGTAATGCCCGTGAACTGGTAGAACACGACCATGGAAGCTCCCAAATGAAGATTTCCACAAAAAGATTGCTATAGTATCCCTACATAAACCTCAACCATTGACAATCCTGAATGCGTGGGTGTAAACACCATCCGCCCATTTGTGGACACGGTGTCTCGGTAACACCAGAAATACCCACGATTACTATTGCTACTATTCTGCCAGACACGGCGTCAGACATCTTGCCGTCACTGAGCTCTACCCAGTCACGGTTGTACCACAGGTAGGTACACAACGCCTGTAGGCATAGCGAACACTGGTTGGAATTGCCAGAGGCCTGCCGCATGTACCTATATACCCAACAATCCATCCAACTACGGCATAGGTTGTTTGGGCATCCACTGGATAATGTTAAGTCCAGAGACTTGAAAACGGTTTTTACGTTGCTACCTAACCTGAATCCGGGAGTAAGACCCTCACTGTGGCATGCTACCTTGGGTTCACCCAGAGAAGTGGACCGTACATTTATAGAGTGGTGCGTAATCGAGACGCGTCTAACATAGAGGTAGCATATGTCACCAAACTTCACCTGACATTTATCAGAGCTGGGGAAGAGCAATGGACCATGCAGAAAGACTAGAATCCCATTACCACGGCTACACAGGGATGTCGGATGTCAACCAATGAATGCCGTCTATGAGGCTGCACAGTTTAGGTAACTCCACAACAGGATGTCCTTTGTAGCGTTCCTAAGCGGTCAAGCTGAACCATCTAGTGAATCAGTTGTGTGGTATTGTGTCCGGGCGTGACACACAGTTGCAGAACGAATCCGACAAGTAAGCATTCATGCACATCTCTGAGAACTTTTCACACAATTTCTTACCTCCTTAGTGAACACCCGGATATCCTCGTGGAACGATTCCGATGAGCAGATATCATTGGAATGTCTGCTGTTGTCATCACGGAGAGTACAAGTGGCCAATTCGCACTTTTCAAAGATCAACGCCAGCAATGGGTACAGCGGATGACTGTGGAACGGGAGGGAAGAATGAAGAGGACACGCACATTTGGGAACGCCCAATTTTACGCTTACTGAGCAGTGAATATGCTGATTGATATTAGTACACATACACACCCACAATAATAATGAGTCATTTACTGATTGTTTAATCAGCTGCTTGACTGCAAACGTGAATAGAAGCTGGGTGCACAGTCACACAGGCTGTAGCAGCGTCGCAGAGTGCTTTAGGTGTTGTTAAACTGCCACCTCAACCTAAGAGTATTTGTGCTACAATATGATATGCACGACTCCACATCCCCTTTAGGACTCGCTCTATATTAGCCGATTAGACACAAATCCAATACGCCGTTCACCGACCCAGTTCCCATCTAGAACAAACATCCATTTGTTTTTCAAACTCTTGAAATATATTTGGAACCGATTGTTCACAAACCTCTGACGCCATCTGTCTTGTGATTACTCGTCTGGGTAACGCGTCCTGCACATGGAAAGAGCTGGAGTGGCCACGTTGTGCCTAGAGAATATTTTGTTCTCCTGATTTAAGACCAATTCCATTTGATCATTTGATTCTGTTACACCATCTGAATGGTGTATCAGTAAAGTGCTGTAATTTTGTTCTGTGATTTAGCCACAAAAGTTTAACTGTGATACTGACCATCAACAGTATAACAAACCTTTCGATCGCCTCGACGTGGCGCCGTAGTTCCGTTACGTTGTCCACTGGGTTGATGTCCGATTGGCGGAAACTCCCGGTGCTGGTAGGAGCTGAGTACGGAGCCAAATTGGACGAACAGTTTGCTGTGGACCAAAGTATGGAGTTGGCGGATCTGGCGTAAAATGGACTGTCCGTTGGAGTGGATGAGTTAGTGAGTCGCACCCCGCTTTTTTCTGAGTTTCCGGGGGGTGAAGAGGTCAAAGTTGGTAACATTGACTGGGAGGACGGACTGAATCGGTTTGTGACGGTGTCATTCTCCTTGATGCGTTCGGTACCATCCAAGTTACTGAGCAAAACGGACATTGGATTTGTACTTTCGCAACAGTGTTGGCCAAGTTGTAGGACTGCATAAAAAGGGAACAGCAGCGAAACACACATTAAAGGTACATTAAAGGCGTTAGCAATGATAACTTAGCTTTCATTTACACACAAACAGGAACCCTGTTCCTATTAGGCGTGTAGGGCAGACTTGTCAACATGTTGTCCGTATAGGTTCATTCTGGTGAAAAAAGTCATAAAACTAACAGACTCGACAATCCTTTGGCACAAGCAAAGTTGCTGTATTTAAAAGCTCTGCTATTAATACCAAGTGGAGGAAAATCTCACTGAACGAGTAAAGTCGGTATTAGTGAATATGCACTTTCGATATCTGCACTTTATGTGTTATTAAGTGGACTAGTTTAAGAAGCAGAACGGATTAACGGCTGATGAGACTACGTTACTTAAAGTAACAAGTGGGAATGACACGTCATAACAGACCGAAAATCAGACCTGCAGCTGTTTCATCAAGATCAAGGGTGGGAGTGGTTTCAGTACTGCTCTGTCTCAACACCGTAATCCAAACCGGGTTTCCTTTTCGTTTGGACACTTTAGGTAGGTGGACATGGGGTAGGCCGGACAATAGTTATCCTAATGGACCCGCCTGTGGAAATCTGCGTCTCACAGACCTCACAGTCACCCCAGGTATAGTGTGGTCTCCAAAAGACCCGGATAAACCCCATGTTTCTCTACTGCCAGTTTTGGATATGAACCGCTCACCTCACGAATCGCCATGAAGAGGGTCCACGGTCATGCACCACAACCTTATATGTGGGGAACAAACAAACAAACAGACAAACGTTTATTCCCGACAATGCGAGGCACATCTTTACAGGCATGATCATGTTTAGCTAGCATAGTGTGATCAAAAAGGTACAAAAAGTACATGTTTGGCATAACAGTGTATGTAAGTGTATGGGTGTATTTGCGTATGTAATTGTGTACGAATGTAGCTTGTGTTTTTGAATGTGCCGCAGTATTTTTGACTGTTTGTGAGAATGTGAGAATAAGCGATTGATGTCCGTGGGTTGGATAGCATTTTCCGGATATCCACCGGCCAGTGACTAGTTTGTGGCGAGTCACATCCGCCACGTCGCAGTGTTGATACGAAGGCATATGTGGCTTTTTGTAGGGAGAACGCTTGCCAGGCGAAAACCCACCACGTCCTGGAACACTGCCGCCGAACTATTTGCTGGAACGGGTTAAAACCGAACCACTCAGCTGGCACCACGAGTAGGCTGTTCGGCTAGCGGTTTGGTCTACTTAAATCAAAACGGAACACGTTTCTTACCTCAATGATCAGAGCTGAAAACAGTTGCATGAATAGCACTCCGTCTGAGTAGTTCCTCGGAGCCTAGAGAATCGGTTGACCGGATAGACAACATAGAGAAAGTAGAATACGGTTGCAATCTCTATAGCTGATAAAAAGATATTCCTTCGGTGGTTGCTTTTGGCGGTGGCCCTTCTAACTCGCTATTTCACACACACACACACACACACACACACACACAGGTGCACTTTCCCAACGGCTAATATGCAGATACCGGCGACACCGAATTATTCAAGTCAAGTCAATATGAGTTTTATGCACCCAGATGGGTGTATTTTCAACATTTACGCTATCTACCCCAAATAACATCAGCAGTACTTATGCGAATTTTACAAGTGCAGAAACAGAATGGGAAAGCGTGCACAGATGTCGCTTGAGTAAACAGTCCTGCATCCATGAGCAGCGATTGCAAATAGCTAGAAAGAATAATGAGATTATTTATTCGGTTGCTGAGGCCGTCTTTTGTTAAAAATTGCTTGACCGTTCGTTTCATTCGGATGAAGGTAGTGGGGAACACCTCAGCTACTGTGCCGCAATACATAGTAAAAAGGAGAAAAAATGCAACTGATGCAAGCTGGCTGAGCTACCGGTAGCGGATGGGCATCGTTCCGGTAAGCTACCAGCCGTCTGCTGTGCACCCAAAAAATTATTATACAAAATTATATAAGGCTAAGTAATGAGATCGTGGTTGGAGGGGGAGGCTAAGAGGGATGGGGTGGGGCAAAGTAACTCACAGCACGAACGCCACTGAGGTCGGCTCCTAGCCATATCAGCAAGTGTGTCCAACCAAACGTGTTCATCGTCTTTCGGACCCCAACCAGGGAGCCGAGACGCTTCAACCGACGGCAGCTTCAAAGTGGGGGCCTTCATTCCTCTGGACCGAGTCATCGCTTGGCCACCCCTCCTCTTCTTCCTTCCACACCCCCGGCGCGCAAACAACACACGTCGCGGGAGTCGGTGTGCTGGCATGCGTAACACGTGGCCGAGCCATCGGAGCCTGATGCGTGAAATAACGGTGCTGAGCGGTTCATTTCCTTTTCCTGTGCTGTAAACAAGGCGTCGAACACGCTCGTTGTTCACGCGGTGTTCCCACCAAATGTGAGCTAAATTACGAAGGCACCGGTGCTCGAAGGTAAGTAGCCTCTTCAGGTCTGCGGCTTTAAGCGGCCAGGTTTCACCTCGGATGAAGGTTGCAAACTGCGAATTATGCGTGGTGTCTCGGACAATTTTCAAAGAATCAGTGGAGTTAAGCGACGACTCTGCATTTGTTTAGCAAAAGAATTCGTCAAAAAATATTTCTCTTAAATTGATACGTTCACAGTAGGTAGTGTAAAACCGATGCTTCGGGGAGAGCGGTAACGGCCAATTCAAACTCTCCGCCTTTCACATTCGGTGCAGTGCCGAAATAGACGCCATACGGCGGCCACATAGACTGCACTCCACCTCGTTCGTTTGTTCCTTTCGGGGAGGATTCATTGCTCGCATGACGAAATACATAGTGTGTAAGGCGGGGGGGGGGGGGAAGGAACCATCCGGTCTGGTTAGGGACTGGATGTCAACAAGTCACCAACTATATGATACCCACACAGCTCACATATATAGACCAAGCTGTTAGACTGATCTAGTCGTTTAAGTTCGTCTGCCAAGCCCCTAGCAATCTATCGAGGTAGGTCCGTAGACCGACCTTAAAAAGCGGTGAGGATATCATGAACTGATAGTAAGATTCAGACCTGTGCATTTCGAAGACTTCACTCGGACCATAGGACTGTCTGGATCTAAGAGGATCGCGATCTAGGGTCATCGGGAATTAAGATGGAGCTGCAATTATGGCCCAGTTGGTGGTGGTAATCAATGTTCATTCAAAACTGAGCGCAGAATACCAAGCCCCTCGGTGCGTTCACAACTTCTACCACATATAACTGCGTGAACTTGGTGAAGCATTGAACACATCTTCGCTTACACTGAGGTTTATTTGAAACATGGACATGTGAACTGTCGTGAAGGATCGGAAATGCGTCGCAAGCACAGCGAACAGCTTGCAAAGATAAGTAATGCGCGGTGCGAACCAATAATCAGGTTAGATGTTCGGTGTGCATTCCCCGAACCAATGGTCTGCAACAGTGCGTTGATTACTTTCTGAGCAGCCTCTCAGACCAGAACTTAACTCGACAAAGAATAATCTTCACGTCGACAGTGTGCGTTTCGTTTCTGTCTTCGGCTGCGCTGCCTCGTGCCGGAGATGCGAAAAAAACAATTCGCTTGCTGTCGACACTCGTTGACGCATGACCTTTAAGTCAAAACTTGCGCACGTGTGTGTCATTTTGGCCCGCTCCCACTGACATGTTCCCAGATTGAACACGCATGTCTGATGTAACTTGTGGATGGTGGAGGGACGGGGTGAGACACCGTCAGGGAACAGCAATTTGCCCTCCCTCGTATCACCAGCACAGAATCATGTGTTATGTCGTAGTTGTTTGAACCGTCTCTGTGCGCGCATTCGAATGTGAATGTCCGACGGAGGTATGCACACACGTCGGGAAATTCTAACCATCAACATCCAGAGCGAGTTGAACGATTACAGGAGAAAAGTGCGTGCTGTTTGCGTTTGGAAAAATGGAAACCATTGTGTTCGCATCAATCAGGCTGATGTGTGATTGCAGCGGAAATTGCTTAACTCGTCCGGAATGTCATAAACTCTCGGACAGCAGAGTAAAAAACAGTACTTCATATACGGCAGCCCGTATTCACGTAATAGATTGAGTGATGTGTTTACTCCTCAATGGTGAGTACCATGGTTTATGGTTTTAAAATCCCATTTCAGAACACCTTGAGTGAATACAACCAAAATTGGTCTCCTTTCACTGGTGTACTGGCATCCAGTCCTAGGTGCAAAGGACGAGCATTTAATTGTACACCGCTGTGGGGAAATACTTGTGATACACAGGCTCCTTTGCCTCAATGGTAGCTTAATTTTTGTCATTTTGTGTGGCTGGCGCATGCCATAAACGTAGAATGGATAGATGTGTGATGTAGGCGGATGGTCCACCGTTATAGCGTAGCTTCGTGCGGACTACATGGTACATAAAGGAGGAGCATGAGTGGAATGCACTGCGTTCTGCTGCTGTGGCCCTTCAGATGATATGATCATGCTCACCTAGTGAATGCGACCAGGATGCCGAAACTTTCGATGAATGACCCATGTAATGCAAACAAAAGCCACACTATCAAGACATACTCATGGTGAGCTTTCCAAGAATGAAGATGCATTTCACATGCTGACAAGCAATGGTAGTGGACCGTCGACAATAACGTGGCCACCTCAAGAATAGTCATTCATAGCTGCACGGAAAATGCGTACTGCAAATTACACAGACACGTTTGGTATGTAAGCAATAGTCGTTAACCCTAGATATATATATGCGGTTGCATTACACACAGCTGTTCATGTCCCAGTTGAGCAAATTTGGTAAAGCGCCCACGTGGCTACGGGGTACCTACGTCAAAAAAGGTGGCGGGTAATTTACCTGAAGCAGTGAACCAAGTTAAACTGTTTTCAGCATCAGCGTGGCCATTGCCCTGTATCCTCTCTGCGGATAGACAATTCGCGTGCAGTGAGCGTGTGCGGTCGATTGGTGTGTATAATCACGCAACAGTTGATACGCAGTTGGCCAGAGTGTCTACTCGTCTGATTTAACT